ACACACACACACACACACACACACACACACACACACACACACACACACACACACACACACACACACACACACGCACGTATACGTGGACGCAGCTGTCGTGTACATCAGCAGTTCCTTCGTGTTTTTTGTATACAGAGAGCTAGCTAAACCTCTAGGTAATAGTTTTTTTTTTTTTTTTTATCAAAAGCACATGTATATCGTGACTAGCCTATGTGTGTATATATAATATGTATATATATATATATAGTATATTGTATATAAATCGACCGTCGTGTCATATGTGACTCCCATCATCCTCTTCGTATTCTTCTCTTACTCTGTGTCTCTACTCTGTGTATGTGTGTGTATATTATGTCTTTTATTCGACGTTCCCTCTTTCTTCCTGCGTGTGTGTATATATATATATTTATACGTTTGGTTTGCATATTTATCTCTGTTCTCCCTCTTCTCTCATTCGTCTTCTCAATCAGTGTGTGATCAGTTCTTGTTCTCCTTTCTTCTCCTGCAGTCAGACTCGTCGGTGGAGACTCATCCGGAACTCGTTCCGGGCTCATTCGCGCCGAGATCTCAGTCTACGAGACCGCGGTTCGGGGAAACACCGCCAACTTTCGTCCAAGTGCGACTAGATCAGAATGTCTCTTTGAATTTGAGGAGGTGATGTGCGCGGTGTGTCTCTTCTCTTCGATCTCGTTCGTGCACGCCATTCTCTTCGCTGTTTCTCGAGGATTCGATGCCTGGTTCAAGTTGTCACGATAGATTTGTGCAGTTCAGGATACTGTCCGTTCTTGCTCGACCTCGACTCGTTTGAGGCTCTGATTTCTGGCTGTGATTTCTCAAGAATTGAATAGAAAAGATGTCCCAGCGTGAGGTTCAGTGAGGGAATCCTCCTCCGTCGTGGCTCGTTTGTGCTCGAACGAAAAAAAGTTCAGAAAGCCTAACAAAGTCGTTGACTCTTCAGCTGCGGAAGAGAATACCTTTTCCCCTGTTGCGATACGACGGTACTCGTGTCCCTTCGTCGAGACGAGACTTTAAAGCGTCTAACGAGTGAAATTTTGTGCAAGGAGTTTCAAACTAGGAACCTGTCAACAGTCTTTGATGAAATTGTGAAATCATAATGTGCCTCGCAGCTAAAGAGTGAAGATACTCTTCCAAGTATCAGCTTACTAACTTTCGATTTGTTCTTCTTCTTCTTCTTCTTCTTCTTCTTTTTTCACTTGGGTCAGGTTATCTTCACGCTTCAATACGAAAAATTAATTCCATAATCGTCGAAACTTGCAGAAGGCTTACCAGTCTGTCGTCCAGATCGTCAATTATCAGCGTCGGATCTCGTTTACATGGCGAAGATACATTCATCAAACGAATAATCGCAGTGGTCCCGTTAATGCGCGTCGTTTCGTCTTATTGGGGAAACATCGATCGCTCTCATTGTGCGTCTGGCGACGAATATTCAGCCTCTCTCTCGTTCTTTCTACAAATTGCATTCAGTCTCTCTCTCGAACGTAATACACACTTCTAACACAAGCGGTGTGCTCCCAGTGCGATTCGCCGCGCTGACTGCCCGCGAAAGAGAAAAAACATTTATAAATATTTCAAAAACACAACGTCACGCAACGAAGAGAACCATTTTTCCCTAACACACAGCCAACAATAATGCAACGTTCAAGGGGAAATCATTTTCCTAGACTAGTAGGTGATACTACAGCATCGATTCTCAAGGCATCGAGTCTTTCTTTCTTCTCGCGCTTTCGCTGCTGCTGCTCCACGCAGCGTGAAAAATTCAACAAAATTGCATTACCATTAGAATTCCTAAAATCGAAGCAGTCAACGCGTTAATAATAAACGAATTTTCGAAGGAATCGGAAGTCGAGCACGTACCTTCTTCTCCTCCCTTCGGCTCTCGCCTCGGGATTTAAAAAAACAAAACGAGAAATTCTCAACACGCTGGGTTTACCATTACCACGTGATTCCTTTACCATTCTCGGACAACAAAAGCCTCTCGATCTTACGAGTTTCACTGCTAGTCTCTCAAAAGACGCCCACGCTTCGCAGCGAATTACCTAATCAAAGAATTACCTCTCTCCCTCGCGTGGAGAACTAAATTTTTTGAAACTGCAAGCAGGCTGTGCTTGCAAACCTTTCGTTTCAACAATTAACAACTAGCAATCAGAGCGCACAATTAGAGGATTACTTTCTGGTAATTATTTGAAACGTTCCGTTTCTCTCGTCTTCGAAAGAAAAACGCGAAGATCGTTGGAGCTATCAGTGAAACAGAGAACGTTGGAGCTATCCTGATGGGCGTGCATCCCTCGATTAACATCAACGAAACTCTAATGCGTCTTGGGTACGTGCTGGTGTCGATCGTCGTCGCTGGCCTCCGCGTCACCCTCCACACCTTTCTCACCCTCCTCCGGATGCGTTGTGTTCCCCTCCTCGGTGTCGACGCTGCTGGTCGGCGTGATCTGTTCCGTTCCAGGACCAGTGGAGTTCGCTGTGGCCCCCTCGTTGCTCTTTTCGAGTCCCAGGCTGCCCAGCAGGCTCTTGTTAATCGGTTCCGGCGAGGCTTCCGACTCCTCGCTGCTAGGTGAACCGGGAGACGAGACTATCACCTGTACGAACAGAAACGCCGTCCCAAACCAGCGTCATTTTCCAATTAATCAACACGGTCTTTTGTATTCTGCGCTTGCGTTTATATACGTGTGTCTGTGTTTGTGTGATGTGTTAACCTTTTCAGGCTAACTATAGGTGTGAAGTTTGAGTTCGAATCGTTGCACGTGTTTGCACAAACGAGGGCTGAGATTGAGAAAGTGAAGGGGAGTTGGGTGCGAAGTGTTGGGAGACAAATGTGAATGTTCTATATTTGTGAATGTTTGAAGCTTAAGTCACTATTGTGTCGAACACAGCGACTTGTTCTTGGTTGTGTTTCTGAGTTGTGTACACACCTATATATATTATATTATAATAATATTATATTATAATATTATATATATATATATATATTATATTCTATTACAGAATGAGGCATCTGTGATTTCAGTCGTGCGCAAAGGAACTGAAATTAATTTAAATGCTTCATCTTGTTTACTATATTTTCTATATGGTGTTGGACTGAAAGGATCCCCATTGGACAGGAATGTTTGAGGAACTTCATAGACAGTTTACTCTTGATTCCAGTTTGAGTTATTTTGCAAACGAAGAAAGAGACAGATTCTTGAATTGAATCAGAATTTATGATCAGCAAGTGTGGTGGTCAGACCGGATTCAAGAAGTGCAATTGACGCATGCTAGGAGTACTAACGGATCCCTCAGGCTATCAGTCGTTAAAGAATTTTCAGGGATCAAGTGGTTGGTAAAGTCCTAAGAGGGATCCCCACTTTTCCTACAATCTCACTCCTCTCTGTCTTTCAATCAGGTGAAAATGACAGAGACGATGCTATGTGTCAATGTGAAAACAGAGGCAGAGTCAAAGTACTGTCCATATTAAAATCCAATCCAATCGACAATCTTGTTTTAAATAATATATGAACGTACAAAGGAGAATATTTTTATATCTCTTCTGTAGAATTTAAAACAATTTCCCAATCTGCCATGTATTTTCACGCATTGAGTATTCCTATATATATATATATATATTCAACTAAAATTATTTACACATTTCCGTGTACGCTAGAGTCTTTGATACACGCGCTCTGTTAGTTAATAATAATTATTTAAACGACTCTGCGAAAGTAATGACGAAATGCAATGGACGAATGACTGTGACATATTTGATTCATTGACATGTTACGTATTGTATATAATATATATGTATATTTGATAAATCTGGCCATGCATGTGACAGAACGATAACTAAAGGCTGATGATAAAAAAACGCGAATGAAAACGATAATAACGATAATACCTGTGCAAGAAGCGGCGTCTCTGTGCTGTCAGCGGTTTGGTAGAGCCGGCAATTTGCGTTTGCTCTGAAGAATACGTGCCCAAAACGAAAAAAGATAAAGAAGACAACGTAAATCGTCACTATAATGGAAAGACGTCGAGAGACTGGCGCAAAGAGAGAAACGGAAAAATCATAAGCGACCCGCTCGACCAGTAGAACACCCAAGTAAGTAAATGTACAGAACTGACATCGAGACATGCACGGAGGCGTAATTTCTGGTAATTGTGGTTCATATTTACACGGACGTAACGCGCGACGTGATTAGTTTTGCAAACTGTTTGCCACCCATAGCAACCTATTCTCTTTATATTTTTTCGTCTACACTCCTTCGTTTCGGTCATGCTTCGACGAAAGCATGACGCTCAGGGCGAACAATTTGCAATGGCCGACGATCCTCGAGTGTTAACCTGAAACCGACACACGATGGTAAATGAATGAAAGAACGTAGACATACATACATATATATACACATATGTATATATGTATATATATATGTGAATGAAAATGTGAATAAAATGAATGAAACGTGGCTTTTGTCTCTCATATCGAGCTTATGCGAAACAAATGTGATTCGAGATCGATATGTAAGCGCGACAGGGCTTGTTTCTGCGAAGCGAAAATAAAGGGAGAGAACAGAGTAGTTTATACTTTAGGCCTACCATGCTGTTCACAAACACGCTTCAGATAATGCATATAAATATGTGGGACACGGAGAAAAGCAGAGAGCGAGACGAGACTCTTGTTGTTTTTTTCTATCTTTTTTTTTTCTTTTCTTTTCTTTTCTTTTCTCGAAGCGTTCCGTTCAACTTTCCTGGTCTCCCCTCCGTTTCAGATCGTCATTTCAATTGACATTTATACGGTGAAAGTAGCGAGGATCGTTAGACCAGGAAAGTGTTTTGATCTTTTATTTCTTTAACCTTTCTTCCGCCCTATTCTCTGTATCATTTCGAGCCACTCCGTTAGACTACAAAGAAACAAAGACAGATTACACGATAATTACAGCAAGCAATCTTCATTTGAAGAAGAACACGTAGAGTAGCCTTCGTTCAAAGTCAATCACAATTTGAAGAACAGAGACAAAACGTAACGAGTCACGTGTTTTCTTTCGTAGAAAAAGGCAACTGCAAAATTTAAAACGCTCGAGGGAAAGCTTCCTTGGACTTGTATCCCTGCAACGATACTATCTTCACAACAACACGTGTACATACGTATCTTATATAACGCACGAAAGATTTCAAACTGTTGCTTAAAAAGTGGTTCGTACTTTTCTTTTTTTTTTTGCTGGTGGTTGCTTTCTGAGTTTATTTAAATATCAACAGGCAGTGGAGCAAGTGCACAGACAGAGAAAGCGGGCGCGGCGGTAAGAGAGGCGAAAGATTGGAGTGAACGTCGTTGAAGTAGAACGAGTGCCCTAAAGAGAACACTGACCTGTCGAGGCTTGACCGGTGGTGGAGGACGAATGGAGGCCGCGAGGGCTGCGGGTGGCGCCGTAGTTGGGGGCTGTTGATGAAGTGAGTGTGGAGGCTGCCAAGGCAGCCCTGTGCGTCCCAATGTTCCCTGCAGTTGCTGTTGCACCTGTTGCTGCACCTGTTGCTGAACTTGCTGCTGCGGCGGCGGCTGCTGCTGCTGCTGCTGCTGCTGCTGATGCTGATGCTGATGCTGCTGCTGTTGCAGCGGTTGATGACTGTTGTTGTGCTCGACTGCTGGCGTAACTCGAGGAAGCGTTGAAGCGACTGAAGAAATCTTCCGAACTGTCTGTGAAATGAGCGACTGATTATTCGGCTCTTATTTTTCCGGTCAATTTAAAAGAAAAGCGACAACTTCAACCACTACATGCGAAGTGCGAGACGAAGCTTTGAACGTTGCCAATTTTGTTACAATTTGCAATCAACTAATTAATATTGCAATAGACTTCAACTCTAATAGCATTACAAGTGAGTTTACAGTGAGATTGGATAAGTCAATTGTTAGGAATGACGACATTACCTGACTTAACAGGCCAAATCTCAAGAAGATACTTGAGAACTGCTATCGGCTGTTGGAAATCCAGAGGCGGGCCGTTCTCTTCCGAGTGTAGCATTAAAACTGGCCCGAAACATACTGCCAGACTTGCTGGCGACATCTTGTTACACTGTGAAACCACCATCGCCAGATGGTCCAGCAAGTAGATCAACGTACACTGTGCAAGCAACGATTGGTTAATTGGAACACGTTTTAGAAATGAAACGTGTCGGTGGAAACGTCGGATACCTACCCTGTTCACTTTTGGTAAACAGTCGAGTATACTGAACATGAGTTTCGCGTTGCCTTGTGGATCATCCGGCAGACAAACGGCCAGTGCGTCGACCATCATTTGGTAGAGGCACTTCGTGAAGAGTGGTTCTGGAAGTTCTCGCAGGTAATCTTTCAGTACACCTGAACAATCATTTTAAACCATTGTTGCAATCGGTGCCACGTTACTCCTATTAACTTTATGAACAATTATAAAGAAGTTTACCAGTAATCACGTTAATATCTGGTACGTTGTCAGGCGACAGATTCACTGAACGAGCGTTCCTCTCAAAAGCCTCCCTAAGTATCCTCTTTTTCGTAGCCGATCCACAGAGCCTGTACAGACCTAAAATCACAGATTGTTAACCAGCTGTTTACACGCAGCAGCCTTACAACAAATGGCAGCTGCTACTCACCAATAATGTCGAGACCTCTTCTCTCAACCTCCTCGACGCAACGCCACACGATTATGGGCACATTTGGAACGCCCATGGCTAGGGCGGTAGAAACACCACCAGGAACTCCACCAGTCTTGCTCTCTCGGCTCACCTAAATCCGAATCATCATCATCATCATCATCATCATCGCCGTTTTCGACCAATTTTTAAGATTTATCCATCGCCCAAAACGTTGAACTTACCACTGTGTCGAGATCAACTCCGAAGAGCGGCGCCACTCTGGTAGCCAAGGATATGACTGGAAGTCCTCTCCTTCGGAATGTCTGCTGTGCATCGGTGTATCTTAATCTCAGGTAGATGGTGCCACGTGGCTCTACCTTGACAGCTAGCTGATGAACCGGTGACTCCTTCAAAAGCGTCGCCAGGTGCACGGACCCTTTGTAACAGAGTTTGTGCCTGTACTGTGGATCCCAGGAGTAGACCAGCAAGTCTAACTGCCGGTTGCCAACGAGATCCAGCTCGAAGGTCTCGTCCCAGTCGAACATCAGATCGCCGGTTCGCATCACCGTCCTTGCCTTGTGCACCCTGTCGCACTCCAGCACGCAGTAAAGGTCTCTCAAGCCGCAGCTAGCTGTTACATCATCGAAAACAATCGGTGATCGATCTCGCTATCTCTCCAATTCGCATTTCGTTGCTTTAACCCTCGAGCTTTCGGCACGAAACTTTCAATGAAAAGGCAGCAGCTCGAAGTTTAAGGACAGTGTGAGTACTATCGAACACTTTCTAACATTCGAGAGTGTCAGGTAGTAGGAAACGCTACAGACTTAAGTCAAAAGTAATTTTAATGAAGAAAAAAAGAAAAAAAAAAGAAAGAGAGATACGTGACAGGTTGTGCAATGGAGAAAACAGCCTAGAGGATGTGCAAACTCCCGAACGTACCTAAATTAGGCTGACCTGATGGCGTGGAGGGTGTAGTGGCCGCCGAGGAGGACGTCGTTGAACGAAGACCGCGACCTGCCAGAAGATGGACCCAAAGTAGCCCGCTGACCCCACCCGCCAGGTCACCACTGCTGGTTTCCCCGAGCGAGCTCAAGAGAGAGCTGGTCGAGCTCGGAGTTCCCACAGTCGGAGGTTTTTCTATCTTATACTTAAGGAACTCTGCAACATACAACGCAGATAATTAGATCAGAATTCGTTTTCTTTTTTTACACTATCCGCTATGGATGTCGATCATCAATACCTAAAACCTGAATATCACCTGCAGGATTAATGTCTAGCAGTCTTTGATCCTGAGTTCGGGTAGGCGTGGGGGTGGGTATGCTTCGCGTGGACTCTAGGTCCAGCAGATTCCTGATCCTTCTGACCGACGTCGCCCTCTGGGTGGCGGAGCTGCTCAACGATGGTTTCTGGCTGGTCAAGGACGTACGAGCGCTGGACGCAACCGAGGCCGGTCTTGGGTTTGCTGTTCCACGATGGCACGTCGAGCTGATGGCCGTCGATGCTCTCAGGTTGGCAAGATTCACTTGCTGCGCAGATGCTGACCTCGTCGACAAACGATCCAATGTGCTGGACAGTGGCCTGTACGCACCGTAGGTTCCGTATTCGCCCTAAATTATCAATAAATATGCGTTTAAAAACCGACTCTGCGAAAGAACAATAGCGTACATTTTCGACATTTGCTTGTTATTTACTTGATTCACAGCTGCGTGAATGTTCTCTGCGCTGTAAGTGTAACGCGGCGGTCTGGTCGTGCTGGCTCTGATCTGCTCGTACAACGCGCTGGTGCTGGGCGTTCGACTCAGCCACGCTCGGTACTCGTCCGACGTGAACACACTGGGTGACGATGGTATCCTTCCTGTTCATTCGAATCGAACAGAGTTTTCCCAGTTTAAAATTCAAAGTGTTAAAGGATCCTCCGTCCTACTTGAACGTGAGACTAACCTCTATCGCGTCTGATGGAAGGTAGCTCGGGCGCTGACAGTGCCCCGTCACTATCTTCCTGATCTATAAGCCCAGATGCTACCGTGCTAAGTCCAGACCTGAGACCTGGTTGCTGGGGCAACGTTCTGCCACTACGAGGCAACGAATTCGATCTCAAGCCTAGAGAAAGCGTAATCTCGATTTTAACGTCAACGTTGAACGAGATCGAGTTTGTGGGAGGGGTTGCACGAGCAACGAAGACTCGTCGATGGCAGGAGGAACAACTAACCTGAGGAACTCTGACCAATCTGCGACCTCGACAGGGTGGCAAGGTGCGAGACAGCGCTGCTCTGAGGCGGGTTGTTCATGTTATGCCTGTAGTAATAGTACGCCGACTTGGGTGAACTCGAACAGGTTGCCTCCGTGTCTGAAGCGTAGTCCAACGACGGCCGATGCCTCCTGGTCAACGTGCCAAACTGGCCTTGCCTCTGAGTAGCCGTAGTGCTGTCACCTTGACCACCGTATCTGGTGTTGTACCTCAACGCGGATGTTCCTGTTGCAGAGACACGTAAAATATGAGTCTAGAGTCTGGAACAGACTGATGTGTATGTAGTTAGCAGCTAAAAAATTTCTACAATTTTCAATTTCAGTAGATATTTGGCCAATTTGGTTTCTATTGTTTCAACGAAATGCCATATTTTCAACTCCCAAATAGATCCACTGTGGCAAATGACAGACCTGACTTCAAGCTGGATCTAAGAAGAGTGTGTCGAGCTGGTGTGGTGATGCTGGTATAGTCAACGCGAGGTAAATGCTGATCCGAACCGCTTCTGGGCATGATTCTTCCGCTTCCGGCGTGTTGACCGTAACCATAGTGCGACGACTGTGTCTGACTGGACAATCTGCTGCCGACTGATTGCATCCCTGCGCCCGTGGACATCCGGCGACCGCCATTCGAGGGCATTACTGGCCCCGTGTAGAACGAGTGTACCTAAATTCAATCGAATCAATTAACTCCTCTTCATCTATCGGTCTTTGTATTTTTTTTTTTTTTCTTTCTTCCCTCTCGTATCACGATCGATCTCACCTCGTATCTGCGTTTCTTAGAAATGGAAGACACTCGTATTGGATTTCGAGAGTGAAGTCGATCGTGAGTCGAAGGGGAATCTAATCAGATACTTTGCCACCACGATCGATGGATCACTCTATACAGATTATATGTTACAATTTACATAGAAATCCACATATCACTATGATGGACTATGACGACCACGGATCGTCACGAGATGAGACAATACTGAAGAAAGAAAGAAATAGAAAGAACGAACATACAGAGCCAAGCTTACAACGCAACAAAAAAAAGTGGGATTACATCATAAGTAGCGACAGATGGTCTTGTCCCACCTGGACACCTGGAGATATATTTAGCATTTCCTTTGAATTTTTCTATAGACAAACACTAATAAATTGTGATTTGAACTGCGACACCATAAACGTGACAAATTTCTGTGCTCATTGTGATAAATTCTTGCCAGTACGAGCTGTGAGAGTTAAGATTCTGAATGCGACGAGTGTAAATACTTGTCCACTGTCCAGGTGGTGCACGGTGCAGGGGATTGCTGCATAACACAAGTCTAGATATCAAGAAAGAGTTAGTGGTTTCTTTACCTTTGTGAAATCCTGGTTAATATCAACGTAGCATTCATTCATAGAACCGATTAGTCATGTGAAACACGTGGTCGAAACACGAGCGTGCTGCGAATCGTTTATTCTCCAAGCCAAAAAGAGCGTTTTACGAACGATCCTCGACATCTCGAGCAGAATTCAAAGAACGAAAGGAATTGCATTTTCTGTGCAAAGTTTACTGGAATATTTGGCGAGAGAGACTTGGAAACCGAGACGGTACGCAGCAGCGTTACTGATCACTATCAGGAGTGTCTCGAGACATTGCCACGAATTCACCACTTTCTTATTCGAATCGCTATCGCAATTGAAGACAGAGAAGGGCAAACAAGTGTCAACTTGGTGCAGACAGGTATATGAAAGGGTGCTCGATCCACATCGTCTAGAACATCTATGTGATCTATATCCAAACGCAGGTGGAGATTTGAGACGAGGGTGAAAGCGGCGAAAATCGCACTTTCTGCCAATTTTGTTGCAACAGTGGTTAAAACTCCCTTTCCTATATCTTCCTTGCAGACTCTTCGTTCGAGTTCGTCTCAATTCCTCCTTAAACTTCGTTCGATATTACTAAATATTTCTCTGATCTGGTAAAACCTCGACCTGCGTCCAAGTCGTACGAGGAACGAGTAGTGCATCGCAAGGGCTTACTTTTTCAGCCAAGCTCTCCAAAGTCTTTGGGTATCCACGTTCGTACGGCTGGAAGTGTTGCGTGGCGGAAGGTTTCGGTTGATGCGTGATGACAGGTGGCGGGGGTGGCTGATACGACCAGTGTCCCTCAGGTCTGGAGTTGTAGTACAAATCACCGTTGCTCGATCCTAAATCCTGACTCGAGCCTAGACCCGACAGTCCTAACCTCGACCGAGAGGGCAGCATTTCACGACCGTCGCCACGTCTACGATTGCCATCTCTGCAATTGAAAGGTAAAATTAGACAATACAGACATTTATCAGATTGACAAAAGTCTGGGTCACTACAACTGGATCTCATTTGCCAGAGTCCACTTAAACCAAGGAGTTTAAATGAAATTTTAGTGTAAGTTGAAACATAAAGTCTAGAGGATGATTAAAAAAATGTTCCAGAACAGAGTAGCTAAAAGTTTGAGTAAGATTGGCAAGCTTACTGGCTAATTAGGTACCTGACGTGGTTACTAGTTGCATGGTCGCTCTCATCCTCATTCAATTCCCTCTTGATCACCACAACAGGAGGCGCCTTGTGCTCGGTCTGGCGACTGTGCGAGATCGGCTGGTGTTGGCCGTGCCTCGTCGCCAAAACGAGCCTCCTGGGTATCGACATGATGATCACGACGTCATCCAGGCTCATGTGCGTCACGTCGACCAGATTCACCGCTAGAATCTCATCCCCGACCTGATTGAAAACGAAACATACCTTTATGTTAGGTCGTGATATTCGATATAAAATCTTGTTAGGAACGATCCAGGGTTAAAAGTATAGGAAATTCTCGACGAACACATCAAAAATATGAATTTCTTCAGCCTGTAGCTCCTCAAGTGTACAATTTTGAAGAAGATCGTATCGGTGAGTCCCACGATTCTAATTCCCACACAGATAGTTGCAAAAGCTCGAATTGCCGTTACCAGAGGTGCTATTAGAGAGGAAAGAAAGAGGACGATTGTTAACCTTCAGGCAACCGCTATTGTAGACAGCGGTCTCCAAGGCTATCCTCGAGATAAAGACACCGTCGTTTCTGTCGACGCCGTTGCCTTCCCGTATGTACAGCCCCAACGTCTGGCCTGGCCTTTTGATTATCTCGACAAAGTGGATCGGGTGCTTCGGATCCTGCAAACGACGAAGTATTAAGAAACGAATGGACAATGATGCCTAAGCGGAAAGGGAATTTGGTTGAAGAGGTATCGACGCAGATGTCACACACACACACACACACACACATCAACGTACCTGCATCGCAATGAACTTCTTCGCCGCCTCGGACGCCTGCCTGCCCATCTGTCGTGGCTCGATGACCCGAACGACCATCTCACCCCTTCGCTCGACAGCTTCGAGGGCCGCTGCTGTCGAGGCGTCATGATCGTTCTCGACGGTCTCGATCTGTTTGAAGATCTCTGTGCTGATTCCACTCACCTGCAACGACAGGTCCTTCCACTTCAACCACGCCATGCCACGAACCGAGGCACTCGCAATGAAAAGAACTTCATGAAATTGCTCCACTGACTCGTCTTTCACTCTCGTGTGTTTCTCCAATTTTTTTCTCGTTCTCTCTCTCTCTCTCTCTCTCTTTCTTTATTTTTCTTTTTTTTTTCTCTTTGCAATAGTTATCGACTGTGGTACAGAGTCGTTGCTGGAACAGTTTCACGAAGGAGGCGAATCGGTTCCCTCTAATCTGATTCCCATTTCCTGCTGCCTCCCTCTATCTACTCTCATTTTTGAAGTAATTAGGTTTATCAATCGGCTCCTTGGAGATCTGATCATCCTCCTCTCGGAGATCGGGATATCTAAACTCTGGGAAACAGCAGGATAATCTAGCTATCTCCTCTGGGAGAGGGGTGGACGTTCCAAGGAACCAAGATTTTAATCTCCTTTGGCGAGCAAGGATGGAATATAATAACCAGGAGGAAAGATTTCAGTTGTTCAGAGGGGACAGTGAAACGTTGCGTCAAAAGGGCGGTCAGTACCTTTCTGAAGTCTCCCTGAATGACCATGGGGGGTGGTTCCTTGGGGCGCAACTGGTTGGCAGGTGCTTGCCTTCCAGGACTTGCACTGATGTCTGTCACTTCCCCCCGGCCCTCCTGCAACAAAATTAATTTCACCGTTAGTATCATTTCCCTACATCCCTCAAATAAAGTTCAATGTAATTTAATTTAATATCAAAATTAAAATTTTCAAAACTCCCAAATTCCTAACTTTCCAATTAATTTCCAATGAACAAAAAATTGCAAGAGGCGAAGAAAGAGTAAACGGCGCTCCAAGTGTACCGGCACTAAGTGAGAAAATTAGGGGGGGGGGGGAGAAGGGGGGACGAGACGAGCAAATCGAATTTATAAAGTTAAACATCACTGGATGGAAAATGAAAACGTTTGGCGCACGAAAGGTATCGAGGGGGAGGATGCCCCCCTCTCCTTCCCCATCGGCTTAAAAGCTGCAGCAAATCGGGCTAAACGGAAAGGGGGGAGGGGAGGGGGGCGGATTTTCTGCTCGCGGCGCGGTTGCACGCGAGATTCAATCAACTAGCTGATTAGAGGCTCGTAAAAATTGCAAGAGCTCCTATTCTCTCTCTTTTTCTCCCAGCGAAGGCTTTTCCCTGTGAAATTACAAACAATCGGAGATGCACGCGGTTCAGCGGATCCACCGAAAATAGAAAACCCGCTTTGTCGGCCACCGATGCAAAGGTGCCCCTTCTTCCCACTATCCGCGAACTCGGTGCTGCCAACCCAGGGGTTGGCAGAGATAATAATCAGCCCCGTGCAAACACCGAGCTACGATCCACCAATTTTCTTTCCTCTCTCTTTCTCTCTCTCTTTCTCTCTCGTCCAGACACCAGAAATTATACCGGCTTATTGCCAGCTCGTTCCCCACGACCACGGATTTAATTGGCTGATAAGTTTTGCACCAGATTAATTCAACACTTTTCGCGACGATAATTCAAATGCAAATGCAAAATGGTCTGTTTAATCCTTACGGCCGCTTACGATGAAAATGTCTTGATCTGACTGAAAAATAAATATTAAATTCCGAGTGCAATTGAGCTGTATTATTGTTCACGTAACTACCAAGAATTTTATCCAGCTTAAATATTTTAATTTTAAAATATTTAATAATTATTACTATTCCAGCTTAAATATTTTAATCAGTAATTACGTACGTACGTAGGTCTAAGTTTCATTTTGTGTAAGTTTCTGTAAAAGAATTTTTTACAACCAATACAGATTTGAAGTGATATCACAAGATTACATCATTTAATCAGAAATCAAAAAAATAGCGAGAATGAAAGAATCAAGGTGCCACAAAGAACGTGGTTTTTCCAAAAATTGTATTTAAAATTGTGAAAAGTTGTTACTGTGAGAGTTTCATTACTATGAGCGGCAAACAACACCGTAATAGCCTAATCTTCCGATGCTCGCAACTCGACTGCGGATTTTTTCTGACCTATGGGAAATTCAAAGTTACAAAAATATATATAAATATAAAATAGCGAAAATAAAGTACTTCTTTCAGAGATGAAAAAAAAAAATTTGACAATAAATTATAATAATATACTAATGCCACTGCGATTGAAGGCCAAGTGAAGTGTTGAACATTTCGTACGATTAATTAACTCGTCTTACCAAGATGATAATTGAAATTGAATTTTAAACTGACGACCCAGAGATCCAATTGTGCTTCTTGAATTTTGATGATTAAATTTGAAATTTAGTAGTTCCGCTTGGAAAACTGGATTAATTTGAGAGCCGAATTAAAAATCGGTCAGCCGACGTTTAAACGGTCCCCTCGTTGATCGTTGGAGGCAACGAATAGCAAATTGCTTCGATTGTGCACATCTCGAAACCAATAAGCTTCCTTGAGCTGATCAGGGTATGCAGAGGTTCCGTTTGCCGCTGAGAAACTGTGGACACGAGTACCCTGATAGAACTCATTAAGGGTAGCAAACAATGCTCGGGGAAGCAACCGCTTGTTAAAGAAGCTGTTTCAATTAGAATCAGTCAGAAACAGCAACGTTTCCGTTCTTGTTCTTCCGCGGAACTTAAATCTCCATAAAGTGCTCCCCGCTAGTCCTGTCATTAAAGCCTGCTCTGGCGTCTAAAATATTCTGGCGTCTCGGCAGTTTTTCAACAAATTAACAGGTTAAGTTCCTCTCTTTCGGTTCACTTTTTTTTTAGGAGCAACAGCCTAGAAACGATAGCTGAATATCCATAGATATTCGGGGAGAATACTCGAGCATTATATTGTTATATCATGCCACGTATTTGGCACTGCATTGAAATTTTTTTAACAAAAGTCGGCACTGTATTCAACTTTTAACAAAAAGTTTAATTTAAAATTTAAAAAATTTCAGAAAGAAAGATTTTCTAATTTCGTTGCTAAACAAAATGCAGATACGGTTCGCAGTATCGCGTATAGTACAGTAGAAATTCAGATGGAAGCCTCAACTTCACTTTCAGACGAAAGCCGATCGAGACAACAGGCGCTTTAAAATTCCATCATCCACCGATCAGAGCCCGGTTAATCCCGACCACAACCTCTCCCTGCAACCCACAGTGTCACCGGTCGGTCATTCTGCGTACATCCCCCTGACGCACCGTCACTACTATACACCTACAACAATATCCTCGACCCAGTGCACGTCGCGTTTGCTGCCCCTCTCACGAGCATCCTACGACCTACGGTTTGTATCCAGCACGCGAGTAGCCGGCACACGTCTTTCTCTCTCTCTCTCTCTCTCGTTGCTTTCGTTCAAAGCGGATCACGCGATCCGGAAACGCACCCCGTGGAGGCATGTGAAGAGGACGAGCCACGCGGCAGAGCCGCACATCCGGTCGCACAGGGACAATAAAGACATCCACACTTGCGCGGCCGATTTGCAGCCCCTTTTGTTGGACGTGTCCTCGGGAAGGCCGGCGGCAGCGGCCAGCAGCTCGTCAGACTTGTTCGTACAGCCCTCAGCGCCCCTCTCTCTGACCTCAGCCGGCGTCCAGGCCCTCTGCTCTTCCTCTCTCCTCTTTCTCGAGGCGTCGAGGTCTGTGGTCCTTGGCGTAGCCCGTTTATCCATGCGTGCTACGCGAGCACAGCGGGGTCGGTCTTACTACACAGAGAGCCGGGAGTAGTCGTTACAGAGGCCCTCCCCCCCACCTCCCACACACCGATACAACTGGGCCACCGGTCCACCCTCCACGCACACGATCTCTATCCGGCCGCACGACAATGGGGGGTACGAGGGTGGACGGACTTGGGAATTAGGCTTCCCTCGATCGACGGTGGACACCAACACCACAGGTATCGCGGATCACCTTGCGGGAGGAAAAAACAGCCCGTGATCACCCCTCGAGAACATCCTCGCCTACCCCATGCTGGCTAATATGGCGGGAAGGAGCGCTCAGGAGCGTACGAGGCCGCGCCTGCGCCCCCCACCGGCCACCACGACGACGCCGAGGAATCGAGTGTAGGTGAGTATCGACCCGACGTGACGTCACACCGTGGCCCACCACCACTATCCTCGGCCAAACGCTCAACCACCCACCCACCCCCTTCCTAACTTACTCCGTCTCTCGCGGTGATTCTCCGTTACGCTGCCGTCTCTCGTTTGCTCCGCTCGTTTTATCCCCGTCTATAGGTTATAACCGTCTCGCTCCACCGGCTACCGCGGGTTTCTCCGGCCACGTCTACGCGTTCCGCTGGCTACGTGCATCCTAACTCGCTCTGCCGTTTGATTTCTGTCTCTCTCTCTCTCTCTCTTTCTCTCTATCTCTTTCTCTCTTTCCGCGCGGATTTTTCTTCGAACGCTTATGCTTCTTCCTTTTTTCTTTTTTTTTTGGGGGGGGGGGGGGGTTTGTCGCTGATCGTCGAGCTGGTTCTTTTTTCAAGCTACGCGTTCCACTCGAATACCTCCGGACGGGTAATTGCTAGACTTGTTCTTCTCGAGTCGAGTTACGATTCCTGTGCGATTTAATTCATTCGATTGTATCTGGGGAGATTTTGTAGACCGGGGAAGATCGAACGAGGCTCTCGAAAGATCCTACGGACAGTAATCGTGATGCGGCATTGTTGCAAGAATATATCTGCTGAGGGAGGATCTGATACTAACGAATCAATTGTTCTCTAGTGCGCAGACCGCGTAACTACTCTCGGTGTAGATTTTCACGTTTCATCGTTGCCTAATTTCTCTTTCGTCCTTCCTCTGCGACGGAATTCTATCCGCAGGATGCGAAATTAACCGCTTGCGCTGGCCAACTGATTGCGGACCGTAACGAGTGACCGAACCGTATACGATAATTCGTCGCTTTCTTTCTGAACTCGTTATGTGATATACGACATCACTGGACAGAAATTATTGAGAAGTAACAAAATTATCATGTTAAAAATTATCATTAGCCTGTGTTATATACTTAAATATACTTAAAACTGGGAAAATATTGCAATTTTTGGGACAAAAACATTCTCGACTGTAGAACAGATTTCCCGCTAATCTGCAGAACCTGTTTCCCACACCGGCGTGCCGCGGCGTCGTCTCTCTTCCTTCCTCCAGCCGGCTAGAAGAGATCCAGCCTAGACTCTATCAGCCCCTCTTCATCATCCAGAGCTATCAATACTCCTTTGTGCACCCGGTTCTTTTACCTCCTCTTCATTTCTCACGACTTACAACCCGGTGTGTTCCTTCTTTCATCTTTCATACTCGCCCTCGGAGGGGCCAGAATCCTCGTCATCGATCTTCGCCCATTATTTTTACTTCGACCCAATTCCACCGCTGCCTTCGCAAGGATATTCATTTATCCGGCTTTTATTTCACCGACGATGGCCGGTCTTCTTCTCTAATTGCATCCAACCTGCCGTTTCTCCCTCTCTCTCTCTCTCTGTCTGTCTGTCTCTTCAAGTTTTTCTACGACAATTTGTTTTATTCACCGAAACGCGTACACACGGTTCCCTTTATGCAAGCTATAGACGCTCTTCTCCATCCGGAATTGATATTCTTTCCAACTTTCCCCACCGCAAATCCTGTCTCTCCCTTGTCTCTGGCTGCGAGTTGCTTATTCCTTCAACTGCTGATTAGTTGCAACGTTGTTTGACTTTACAGAAA